TGTGTGTGTGTGTGTGTGTGTGTGTATGAGGTGCTTCTTCAGTTGACCTGGGCAGGAACCTAGACACCTGCCTGTTCAGATCCCTCTTCCCACAGCCCCCTCCATCTGACTGGGGCAGCCCCTGACACCCCTCTCTCAGAAAGGTTTGGCAAACACCTCTCAAGTCCTTTCTCCTCATTGTTCAAGTTCAGGAACTCAGAGAGAGAGAGGTGTGGGATTCTTCCAGGCTCCCATGGGTAGGCGTGTAGCGGAGCTGTTTCAAACATGGGTACACTTTTTCAGGTCATCATTTAATGTTTTAATTGTTCTTTAACAGGATGCTTATAGTCTCCAGAATGGGAATGACTGGGCAGAGAGCTACCGAGTGCAGGAAGCGTTTGCCATCTCGTAGCCCTGGGTATCTGGCATCTTGCCTGGGTATCTGACAGGCCTTGGATGGGGGTCGTCTATAACAATTTTGCAGTGCTCCCTTTTATCTAAGCCAAATTGTCCATGATCTTTACCTGAGGAGCAATTAGGTGAGCCTGCCCCAAATGCTTTCCAGAGTTTGGAGATGAGCTGCCGTAAAGGGGGAAGTCCTCCACACATCCTGGCACCTGCTCATCCATGATTCATAATTCAGCAAATGTCACAAGTGGGAATATCTTAAAGATCCTCAAACTCAAACCCCTCGTGCTGTGCATAGGAGTCTCTGGGTGGCACACGGTTAAGCGTTCGGCTGCTAACCAAAAGGTTGGAGGGTCAAGTCCACCCAGAGACACCTCAGAAGAAAGAGATGAATCTGCTTCCAAACATCGGCCACTGAAACCACTGGTGCCCAGTTCTGCTCTCACACACGTGGGGTCGCCATGAGTCAGAAGTGACTCGACGGCTGCTGGTTGGGTTGTTTTTTGTTTGTTTGTTTTTTGTTGTTGTTGTGCATGAATATCTGAGGCCCTGAGAGGAAAGATGACTCCTTCAAAGGCACACCATTACATGTTTCAGCAGAGCCAGGATGGCAACGGGACTGGCCCTGCCCCCCACACACACACTCAGTACCATCCCCGGTCTCCGTGTGCAAGTCCCTCTTCAGGCAAAACAGAGATGGCAATGGACAAGCCATTCTACGCCTTTTTACCTTCCCCCTTAGCCCCTTTGTCACATGATAATTTGTGCTTGTCACTGGGTAGTAGACAGGTTTCATTAAATTTGTCTTCTGATCAAAGACAAAAAGGACACCTTCTGACAAAATAACGCATCTTTGTGGTTCAAGGAGACCACTGGAGGCCAAGTTCAGCCATAAACAAAGAGTGAGGAGAGGAACAGGGTGCGGTGGGAATGAATGGCAGCGCTTCCTCTTGTGGAGGCCTTTTAATTTTTTATTTTATTTTATTATTATTTTTTTTTTATTAGGATTTGGGTGAAGGTTTACAGAGTAAATTCACTTTTCATACAGCAGTTCACATATACTTTGTCTCATGTCATTGACCAAAATTTAC